AAGACCCTAAACATGCAACTTCCCAGAGTTTTGTCTCGTGCTGATTTGTTCATGAAATTTGTTTATGGAACTTGCTGCCGCTGCCCGTCCCATCTGGCGCCGGAAAGTACCGAGTGACATCTGACCTGGACCACCCCTGCTCTGTCCCGCCAACCAGAGGCCATCGCAGCGGGCAGCAGCGAACACCAGAGTCAACAATCGGCGCCTCGAGCATTTTTTCCGTCTCTGGCAAAACACACGACTCCACGACAAGAAGTCGCTCACGATAACCCCTCCAGCGCTCGACTATCGCATCGCGCCATAGCAGCATTCGACATTATACCACAAATTAATAGAGCCGAATCGAATCCACACGGGTCCGGACTTTTCTGCAGCCTGCAGCCAGTACGTCAATCACCCCTCACCGACATGATGACTTCGAGCTGTCCCTTTTGCCGCGTCAACTTCACCTCCCAGTGCCTGCGCACCTGTTGTTGGCGCAGATTTGTTTCGTGGATCATACCTGACGCGTTTTTCTCACAGGCCCCAATTGAAACAACCCGACCACGCGGATCGCGCGCCGAAATCGAACCTTCAACAATCGAACAGGCCAACCGAGATGGCTGAGGAAGAAGACTTCAGCTCCCTCCCCCTGACGGACCGATGGGTACACAAAGTCTGGAAGGTCCGCAAGGAAGCATACGAAGAAGCTGCGAAACAGTTTGAGAAGACGGTCGACGAGTACGACCCTGCGTTCCGGCCTTTTGTTCAGGATTCGAGCCTGTGGAAAGCTGCGACAGCCGACTCCAACGTTGCTGCGCAACAAGAAGGTCTGAACGCGCTCTGTGCGTTCCTCAAGTTCGGGGGCCGCGAAGGAGCTGTGCGAGCGAGGCAGCATGCCGTTACGCCAATCGTTGAGAAGGGTCTGTCGTCGACTCGAGCGGCGACGAAAGCATCGGCTCTCGAGGCGCTGCTCCTATTTATCGAACTCGACGTGCCCGGACCGGTGATCGAAGACATCCTGCCCGCATTATCCAACAAGCAGCCCAAGGTCGTCGCGGCATCCCTTGCGGCTCTCACACAAATATTCCACAACTACGGTTGCAAGACAGCGGATCCGAAGCCTGTGCTCAAGGTGCTTCCCAAAGTCTTTGGACATGCCGACAAGAATGTGCGAGCGGAGGCGACCAACCTCGCCGTCGAGTTCTACCGATGGCTGCGGGAGGCCATGAAGCCCATGTTCTGGGGCGACCTGAAGCCAACCCAACAAACCGATCTGGAAGCGCAATTCGAAAAGATCAAGGCCGAGGGTGCCCCGAAGCAAGAGAGACTTCTCAGGTCCCAACAGGCGGCGAAAGAACGAGCCCCTGCAGCGGGCGCCGGGGACTACGAAGAGGATGGTGGCGATGACTTCGAGGAACCCGCCGAGATCGACGCATTCGACTTGGCGGAACCGCAGGACATTCTTGGAAAACTGCCTAAAGACTTCTACGACAATCTCGCGTCCACAAAATGGAAGGAGAGAAAGGAAGCCCTGGAAGCGCTCTACGCCATCGTCAACGTCCCGAGGATCAAGGACGCTGATTTTGCCGAGGTCAATCGCAGTTTGGCCAAATGCATGAAGGATGCCAACATCGCAGTCGTCACGCAGGCGGCCCAGTGTATCGAGCTCCTCGCCAAGGGTCTGCGCAAGGGTTATGCCAAGTATCGGTCAACCGTGATGCAGCCCATCATGGAGAGGCTGAAAGAAAAGAAGCAAACTGTCTCGGATGCCCTGGGTGCCGCCCTGGACGCCGTCTTCTCCACCACTGGGCTCACCGACTGTCTCGAAGACATCACCACGTACCTCGTACACAAGAACCCGCAAGTGAAGGAAGGGATCATGAAGTTTCTGGTCAGGTGTCTCCGGACAACGAGAGATGTGCCGAGCAAACAGGAGATCGCGACCATCGTGGAGTCGGCAAAGAAGCTCCTCTCCGAGGGTAGTGAGGTTCTCCGATCCGGCGGCGCTGAGATCCTGGGAACTATCATGAAGATCATCGGCGAGCGTGCCATGAACCCCCATCTCGAAGGTCTAGACGACATCCGGAAGACCAAGATCAAGGAGTACTACGAGACGGCTGAGGTCAAGGCCAAAGACAAGCCGAAGCCGCCGCCAGCTCCCGTCGCACGAGGGCCACCACCCAGGAAAGCGGGAGGTGCCGTCAAGAAGACAGGGCCAGGACTGAAAAAGGCTGCGCCAGCACCCGCCGCGGCCCCCCCGCCAGCAGAACCCCTCGCGCCGCAACCCACCTCTCGTGCCGCTCCTGGTAGCAAGCTCGGGATGCCCAAGCCAGGGGGTATTGGTGGTCTCAAGGCTCCTCAGAAACGGACCCTCCCCGGACCAGGAGGTCTGACATCTCCGCGCCGACCAGCGGCCGCCCCATCTCCCCCACTCGATGAGTATGAGCCTCCGGCTTCGCCGCCTGCGAAACCCGCTGCCCGGATGGGAATGGGACGGGGTGGTCTGGCGGGCCGTTCCCTCGCCAAGCCTGCCGCGCCGGTCGTACCGGCGGCCCCACCGTCGCCGACGCCTGCGTCCGGCCTCACGCCCATCGAGCGTGCCGAGCTTGAAGAACTTCGTGATGCCAATGATCGCCTGCTGAAGCAGCTCGAGGATGCCCGACATGACAGATCCAAGCTGCTTTCGGAGATCCAGGAGCTGAAGAACCAGAACGCGGGCCTTATCGAGGACCACACCCGGGATGTTCTCTCCATCAAAGCCAAGGAAACGCAGCTTGTCAGGGCTCGCAGTGATGCCGAGGCGGCAGAAGCGACCAACGAGCGCCTGCGACGCGAGCTTGACCGACTCAAACGTGCTCTCAATAAGGCCGAAGCGTTTGGGGCCGGCGTCGGGCCTGGAAGTCCGAGCTCACCGAACCCCGGCTTCATGAGCCCAACGCACGATGATGTTGGCATCTACCGCGATGGTCAGAACGCAGCCGGTGGAATGAGGAACCGGATGAGCTTCACAAGCACGCTCAGCGAGGAGAAGGAGAACGGCGACGCGGGTATTGCGTATCCGCGAAACAAGCTGAGCCCCGAGATGCGATACGCCGGCAGCACAGCGAGCAGCGGACGTGGGAGCCCCGCCCGGGGTTTTAGGAGAGACGTCGCAGTTGACGATAAGGAGTCACGCGGCATCGACAGTACGGTGGGCGGCCAGGGCTATGGCGGCAACACGGATAGGTCCAGCAGCCGGGCTGGGAGCCGAGCAGGAAGCAGACTCGGGGAGGCCCCAGCCGCGGGCGCTGCAGGAGGAAACGGCATGGAGAGCTGGCGGAGGGCTGCCGAGGTGACGAGCCAGCTGAAGGCGCGGATTGAACAGATGAAGGTGAGTTTATTGTGAGTGTCATTGTTGTCATTGCTAACCAGATGCAGGCCAGACAAAACTTGAAGCCGTAGGGCGGCCGGTCCTCGCCCTCTGACGAAATGCCGCCGCCGCCTCGGAAGCACTGATGTGATGTTATTATGAGCATTTCCTTGTCCCGACTGTGAGGTTCCGGTGCTCGGGGTCTACTGCGGGGTCTGTTGTGTGGATGCATTTTCAGGGCGTCGGGTCATTAACATACCCTTTCTCTCTGTCTCTGGCATGGTTATGTTTCTGCTTGTGGATATGGCTTAGCTATGATGGATTATTGGGGTGTTTCGTTGTTGCTATGCGTGACATGGATATATTCTAGTTGTTTTTGTCGGAGGGAGGTTGATGTCGGGCGGTCTTGGTGATGTTGTGTCAGGGACTTTGTGGATAATGTTTAAATGAACACATGGATGTTATGCACTGTACAGACAGACATGGTGATTTCGAGTGATATGACGCGCTTATTATCCGCCCCAATCACTGGGTGTTGATGCGGTCTGGACTTTAGGTTGGTTTGCGTCTGCAACCACCGTGGTGATCCGGAGCTGAGCTGAGCTAGTGGTACCTTACATTTTCCCAGCTTGCCAGCCTAACAGAATCTATATCTTCTTCCCATACGCTCCTCGTGTTCACCGGTAGATCCTATCCGCCATGTCTCGCTCCTACATTTAGCTCTCATAGATTAGACCAATGTTTAGCATCGTGACCTCCTTCATGACACAAAAGGGGAATATATGCAATCTAATCCCGATGGCCTGCTTCCTCATCGATATATCTTCCGCCGTCTGTTAACAGCTATTCCTGCCAATCTGAGCCTTTCCACGGACCCTCCCCTGAAACCAATAAGCACAGCCAACATGATGCAGGCGTGTGTTGTACAATACCTTGCAAGACCTCTCCGTGCAAAAGGGAAGTGAATGGGCAGGATTGTTTAACAAACTTTTCGTCAAGAATCCATTCTCTACTTAGCACAAAAACAACAACATCTGTTAGGCAAAGATTTGCTGCCTTGTTCTCGGTGTGATGCAAGTTCATCCGAGACGGATGAGAGAGACACTGTGGGAGAAAGAAAGAACAACGTACGTATGCCGGTTTCATCCTTCGTTTCTTGCCACATCCCCACCCTCGTCCTGTTCTCGACATCACATACCTCGTCTTAGGCTCAGTATCGCCGTTCTCTTATATACGTTCCAAATCATTCTATTCATCCTGGGCCTAAAGCTCAGGAGAAGGCAGGCGAGCTCGGGTAACGGGGCATAAGATCTCCGCTCGTCTCGGGGTCAAAAATACCCAACTCAGTCCGCCCTCGGTATTGGATTCTAGATAATCATCGGGCCTCAGTCCCCCCGTAATTCCCACCCTCGCCTTCGGCCCCGGTGGGCTTGAGGAAACGCCCGGCCAAGGTGAGACTAGATCCTGAATCTGTCTAGCAACCAACTCACCCACCGGTCCCACCCCGACCATCCCTCCCTCCCTCCAGTTCTCCATCACAACTCCCCTCCCAACTTCTAACCAAGCCCCAACAAAAAACAACACAACAAACTCGCCCACCCCCGCCACACAAAAGAAAAGACCCCACAGACAGGATCACAACAAAATAAAAAAATGAAAAACAAAATAATGCGCGAGCCGGGATTCGAACCCGGGTCCCTTGCTATCTCACGATCTGAGAAATGGGAAGCAAGAATTCTAACCTCTAAACCACCCGCGCTTTTTTCAATTCCATATTTTAATTGGTTTGCTATCCTCCCATATCCACTAAACATCCCACCCAACCCCCCACTACCAGACCCAGACCGACGCCGAGCATGCATTCAGTTGCGTTGCAGTACGCGTCATCCTTTGGTTTTGTTCTCATAGGTTCTCTAGAGTCTATTCAGTATTCCTACTCTATCGTTTTTTTTCTTTTACTCGTTATCAACAACGTCAACACTCTAAACTAGACCTGGCGACTCCAATGTCCACCATGTCGGCATGTCCACCATGTCCACCATGTCCATCACGGACCAAGATCCTTCCCCTCTGCGCGACACAGCATATCACGCAGCCACACACCCCACACCAAAATACACCTCCAGTTTCACCTAGGAAATGCCTCGAATTCTCGCTACCTGATCTAACACTACAGAAACCATCGATACCGCTGAGAACCCTCTACTACCTGCTCTGGCCGTCCGCCTTCCCGTCCAACTGCACCCAAGACACACTGCAGCACCAGCAATGCCATGCCCCAGTCTGCCTGAACAGTATACCAGGAAAAGCCAGCACACCCAAGAGATATGCATACTCGCTCGCTGAATCCTCACTTTTCGGTTCCGTTCACGTCACCATTCTCATGCTTATCGTCCGCACTCTCGGTATCTTCGTCCTCCTCCAACTTCAACTCCGCGACAGGCAGCTGCTCGGGTGAAGCCTCATCAACCGGTACAATTGTCGGTCTCTTGGGTCTCTGGAAAAACAGCGAGAAGCAGTCCTCACTTAAGGGAACCGTATCTCCGATGCTAATGTCAAAAGAGCACCCGGAATCCTCCGCATGGTGCTCATCATCGTCCGCATGGCGCTCATCATCGTCCGCATGGTGCTCAACATCATCCGTCTGGTGTTCATCATCATCCGTCTGGTGCTCATCATCGGCGTCGGATGACCGCTGGTCCGCCGTTGAGGTCAATGGTGGGGTCCGTAGTGTGGGTGATTGCGGTAGTACCTTGGGTGAGGTCGGTCCAGCAGCAGATGCGTCCGACTCTCTGGGTGGTGAGGCTGGTTTCTGAGTATTCGGGTCCCCGATATGCAGACCAGAACATTTCTCCAACTGTCTGACTGAGAACGGTGGCTGACTATCCGCATCCTCAGTATCCGTGGGTGGGACGGGCTCGCTCGACATTCTCCAGCCCACGGCCTTGAGGTAAGGTGGACCAAACACATTCTCCCATGTCTCATTTATCAAAGCATTTTGTTGCAAACCCCTCTGGCGTCTCAAGGCGCGCCAGATCAATTCCTCCGTCTCCTCCTCCACTTCGTCGAGGAGAGTTGGACGAGGCATCAACCCCCGGGTTTCCTCGGGCAAAATATCCTCATTGCAGACGGTACCGGTCGATTCCCCCTCCTGATTCGCATCCCCGCTCAACGTCATCGCCCTGGAACTGGGACCGAACTCCAGCCTCCTCTCCTTCTCCTTCTCCTTCTCTTCCCGTCCCTCACTCTCGTTCTCCGACGTGTCCTTGCTCACCGCCAACGACACATCACTGCTCCCCAATGAGCCAACGCCACCCAACTAGGCGGGCTGAGAGTGCCCATTGGCGAGAACTCCTCCCAAATCCTTGTCTTCCAGATCCCACTCCAAAACTCGGTTGAGATCCATGACAAGCTCTTTCAGCAGGTGCGGCGGAATCTTCACTTTCTCGACTACCGGCGCCCCCGGGACCCCGACGCTTCCGAGTCCGTACGTCTCATCCCATTTAGGATTCCATCTCGGAACAAATGCCTGCAGCTTCAGACGATGCGTCCGGTTGCCTTGGAGCAGGTTGTCCATCCACTTCCAGGTCTTGTCCATGTCGCTGATATCTGCCGGCAAATTGGCCTGGGACGTGCAGAAGTAAAAGACGAAGTATGCGACAAACTTCATCACGTTCTTCATGACGCCGGCGCGCTGCTCGGGCTTGTTGCGTATCTGCAGGAGATATGCCTATTGGGAGAAAAAGTCAGCAACATGTTCCATCCGCAGCCAACGCCATCTTCAGATGCAACAACGCATCAAAGACACAAAGGGGTCGAGTTGGGCTGGGTTAGGTGTGGTACGAACCTTGACATCCTGAAAAAAGGTAAAGGCGGGGCGTCTCTGGCTCTGGAAGATGGTTTCCGCCAGCGAAGAAGGAAAGGTATCAAGGTCAGGACGGACCCCGATCACCTCTTCCGGCTTCGGCTCGTTGGGACGCGAGGCGACTGGGAGGCCTGATGTCTGCAGTTTGACAGGACTGATGTTCGCAAGCTTGGCCTTGAATTTGGATGCGCGCGATTGCTGGTTGTCCTGGACCAAAGCTTGCTGGTTGTCTTGGACCAAAGCCTGCTGGCTGTCCTGGACCAAAGCCTGCGAAGCGTCGCGCGGCGCGTTCGACTCGACGTCCTCGGCATCGATCATGGGAGTGTCGGCCATTGTGACGAGAGGTTTCTCCACGGTCGGACGATGAAGTTGGGTGTTGTTCTGCTGTCAGAGGTTGAGGTCCCTCGCAGCAGGCGCTCTATCGTCGGCGGGTGTCGTGGTGGAATGGGGGACAGCAGGTTGAACGACAACCGGTGCGACGTATTTATATGTGCGACCGGATACAGAATTAGAAAAAAAATGCCGTGGGCTAGGGCACAGCAGATGGAACACTGATCGTGGGGAGAATAGAAATTAGTTGGTGACTAGAGCGGCTAGATAAGTGCCAGCGAACTGGCCGCCGACGGCGATGTCATTCGGCGGGGACTGGCTCCCGCTGGCGCCGAGGGATGCTCTTTCCCAAAGTCGACAGCTCCTACCTGGCGCTGCATTGGCCCAAACAAGCGCAGGTTCAACTAGCATCGTCGAACCTTGAACAGTTATGTTTGGGAGACCCGGGCAGGAGCAGTTTCGGTGTGCTGAATATCGTGGCAGTGGCCCTTCTTTACATACCTTAGTCACTCCTACTAGGGAAAATAGCTAACCAAAGCTGCAAGCCGGTGTCGGATTTAACGGTGCGAGGATATTATTAGCATGCAAAAGAACCTCCATCGTCTGCATGAGCGATAGCGTTGGCACGTGGAGGACACGCACATGATTTTCTGTGGTGATTAGACCCATTGTCCGGTGAAGCGGATGTGACTCACGGCTATCAGCCAAAGCAGCAACCCAAAAGCAATCCTTGTTCCTCTTGCGTATCTAGTAGAGCCTAGTTGTGCCAAAAGAGTGGGTTGGTTTCCATGGGAAGCAAATGTCTCGTTTCATCGTACCGCTCTTGAAACCTCGAATCAGAACCTCGGGGAGCATAATTACCTCGAATTCTGCTGCGGTCTGACTATATTAAACTACGGCAACTGCTTCTAGAAACCGTCGTGTCTGGCTGGGCAGGGTTGTAGCTTCGAGACCAGTGTGATTAGGTACCAGAGCGCCGTACCTATGCCCAAAGCCCGCCTCACATCAAAACTGGTGTCTGTGATTCACTTAGGTTTGTCGGGTTTACAGACGAGTTGCACTTGTGCAGTGTACTGTCTATAGATACATAAAAACTTGGCCATGGTAATCGAGCGGAAGCTTAATCGCACTGAAGTGTCATATTCTACCGGCCTCCGCTGGCAGAAGGGATGGCAACAGTTCGAACGTAACGTATTTATGTGGAAATAGTCAGACCCGTAGTGGAACGAGAACATCAGTATTTACAGGCCCGACACCTGGTTTTGTCGTTCTTCGTTGCAGGATATCGATCTTTCCCAAAGGTGGCGTTCAGACACACGGCGCCTACCACATCCCCCGATTCCAGCCTCACGTACGTGTCTACCACCGACCCCGCCAGCTTCTGCACGGATGCTACGACCTGCCTTGCTCCCCTAATCCAGTTACCGTACCCACCGTATCCGGAGTGTTGCCCAAAACAGAGATTAACACCGGTCCCTGCAATCGACATGCCGGGCAGCTGCCGGTCCCATTTATAGCACCAGGTGTTGCCGTGGTCATGTCCGGAGAAAACAGCCAGCAGGCCCGGGGTCGAAGCTACTGCCGCCATAAACGCAACATCCTGCCCTCCATACTCGCAGCTGCCGTCATTTCTGCCGTCTGCACACCAGCCCTGCCCTTGCTGTGCCACTGGCCTGTCGTCGTCGATGCCCGGTTGGCGATGTTTGTCCACCCCCACTCCCTGAAACGCCAACGACGCGTTCGTGGGGATGTGCACAAATGCGAGCGCGGGGATTGCGCGACCGGCCTGTTCGACTAGCTCCGCGTTGGTCTGCTGGAACCACTCGACTACCCTCTTGTCAACCCAATCCGGCTGCCCCACAAGCTCCCCCGTGCTTGCATCTGTCTTCTGGTACCGAAATCCCCCACGGCTATCGAAGAACCAGAGCAGCAGCGCTGGGGTGCAGCCGTCCCCGCCGGAGTCTTCGCAGTCTGCGTCGTAAACAGGCAGGTAGTAGTTGGTTGCGCCGACGTCCCCGGAAACCATGCTCTGCGTTCTCGCACCTGGCCATGTCTGTTCCCGCGCGAGTAGATCGGCCCGCGACAGGTTGTAAGCGCTGTCGTGGTTTCCATATGTAGACGCCCAGGTCAGCCCGCGCTTGACGAGCGGGCTTACGATCTGGTCAACGTAGAACGTGCTGTTCTCGCGAAAGGTATTGTCACCCGTAATGAGATCACCATTGAGAACAACAAGATCTATCGTAGCCTCTGCGTCGAGAATCGCATCGAGGACTTTGACCGACTCGACGTCTTGTTGCGGTCCCCATGAATCCCAAGCATCTGTGCGGAGAGATCGTCAGCAGGGAGGAAGCAGCGCAGGGAAGCACATACTGACTCTCGCCAAAATGAAGGTCCTCAAAAATGGAGATTTGAAACGTCCCGTCTGGCTGAAACCTGAGCGCGCCCAGCGATGGGCTGCTGGGGGTTTCCTGCCTTGGCCACGAGAACGACTGGCGCCGCGCCAAGTCCAGGAGGGCGATGACAGTCGCAATTAGCATCGTCATTGATGCCAGAGTCGATATCGA